GAAGGCGTGAATTTCACGAAGATATTTGAACTAATTAAAGTCCCAATATAAGCTTTTCAAGTGTGGGCGTCGACAGTGTTACTGTTCCCTGTCACACTTAAGAAACGGTACTTAAGTTCGTTCCAAGGAGAGCGCATACGAATGACGTGCACGTGCCGTATTTTCGGACGAATACATCTTACCGTTACTAAAATGGAAATACAGATATGAACTAAATTAAGCTGCACTTCCACCTTAATACCACTCATTCGACTCAGCTTCATCCTTTGCAATATAGAGCATTCAGTAAAAGTTATATATAACAACGCAACATACGAATATACTCTACAGCGAGCTGAAGAGGGATGGTAAGCAATTCGAAACCTTATCTTAGCGTAAACCTGTGCTGAGTTATAAAATAACCATTTTTTTAATAAATTATTTACCCTTATTTTTGAAGCGGATAGCAATGTAAAGCTCATTTCTGTAGTCTTGATACGCTCGATTTGCATAATTTATTCTCTCAAATAAATCCCATCGAATTACATGACCTTTCAAAAATATAATGTTAGCGCATTGACCTAAAACTTACTAAATCCATAAGTTTGCAGCTCCAGTTCTAGCGGCACAGTATCGTCAAGATATGCCTGATTAATGCCTAATGGATCCAGATCAGCGTTGTTGTGTCCTCTTCCCTAAAACATTAACCCATTAACAAGCTGCTGTTGTGGAGCAACTCTTGCCTGATAACGCTTGATCAACTGTTGGACGTTCAGATGGTCGATAATGCACTGTTCATCCACCTGCATCATGGAAGGCTGAGCGGCGGCAGCAGTGGTAGACTGAGGCACGAGGGTCGGAGGAGGAGTATAAGCAAGACCTGGCTGCATTCCTGCCTGTACACTTCGGAAAAACGAGTTCCAACTCTTAAAAATAATTAGTAGAATCGAAGTTATTACTAAACCAGTAACAGTCAAATGATCACGTACTTTATGGACACTGGACGGGTCTTCTGACCAGGCTGCATACATTTCCTCGATGTATACAGAAGAAGTGGCATTCATGAACGGCTCGGCGGCCAACTGCGCCATGCTCACCAGTCGGAATGGCGTCTTCGTTCCAGATCCACTGGCCTCCACTGATCTTTTCATAAAGTTCGAACGAAAACAGCCGCCAATACCAGAAGCGGACGAATAATTTGCACAACGACACCTAGTCACCAATCGAGATGACCTCAGTGCCATTCTAACGTTCGAATGCCACATCATGTTGAACCCAAATCTGTGACCACCAACGACGAAAGGGAAAAAACTCACCGGATGAATATTCTGAATCACAGAAAAAAATTAAATTATATGAACATATGTGAGTGTTTGTTTAATATGTCAACGTAAGTCTGGGAAGAAAGTTTTTCGAATAAACAGCAATTCACGATTTATTTTGTATTTGGAAAAAACCTATAAGAGCCGTTGAATCAACGGCAAGTCTGATCTGTAGTTGAGACAGTAAAATCAGCTATGGTACCAGTGATGCCCTGCGTGCAGTTTGACTTACCTAAGATCTAAAACCACATGCAATTATACGCGACTTTCTCCTACTTCAGTACTACTTCTGCGAGTGATTTCAGCTAGTGTCATACATCATCACCGGATTATTCAATCTATCAGCATATGAATGCATTAGTACATGAATTTCACCACCAAATTTTTCTACTTCAAAGCTCGAACGGATCACTTCCTAATTTCCATTTCAATCAATCTGTCCCAATTTTGTTAATCGTAACCGGCCTATAAACGGTGGTCTATCCGCGCAGAAAACATTAGAGACATAAATGATACAAAATAGCCTACCTCATACAAGAGCACGCAACTCCTATATCTGATAATGGGCTGATAAACAGTAAGTGAATAGCACCGCATCTGCAATTAATCTTCCTCAAACTGAGAGTATTCGAGTGCAAATCTTAGGACGTCTTATGCCAACCAAATTTAGAAAAAGTGGTTTCTGTCAATAGAGAGTGGACAGATTTCGGATATTATTTAGCATTAGAAATTTTGGAAACTGCGACGTAATGACATGAAACAAGCAAGCTGAAATCGCATTAGTACATTTTTTCCTCAGAGTCTCAGGATCAGCATTTCCAGCAGTCTACCCGCCAACTCTCAGGAAACTATTCTTTCAACTATTATGCAACAGCAGATTCAAGCAAGTGATAGAAAACTCGGCTCAAACCAAGAAGATGAAGAACTGTCCCAAGCCAGAACAGCATCACGTAAAAAAATTTAGATCTTAACGTAGGATTTGCTTGCGATTTGCTTAAGATTTGCTTCTTTCGAGATTGCGAAAAAGCTAAATAAAGCAAGAGACCTAAAATTATATTCGTAGATTTGTCTCAGAAGAAGAAAAACAGGGACTTCAGATTTACAGGCAGACAAAAACAACAAAAACATCAACTTTGTAGTCTAAGTCAACATTCTGACATCGCCGCCTGTCGCAGTGGCGGTGATCATTAGACAAACAATACGTTAGCTACTGAGGAAACTCTCTTGCCGTTAGGCTACAAAATATAAGAAGTAGTTTGAAAAATACCAAAAACGAAGTTGGAGAAAAACGAGGACAAATATTTCAATGGTATACATTTGACACTCGATTCGCTAAGAAAATGAACAAATACAAAATCATTCATCATTCATAAACAGCCGATGCCACGCTTTATCGTGAACATCTAAATAAGAAAAAAAAGTCAACTTCTGCCACATTATCATCCATCTTATGAACAGCATAGTATCACATCTCGTCGATCAAGGCATACATAAACAACATTCATCTGCTTTTTAAAAGAAACAAAATAAGACGAAATGAATGTCAGATTCACCACAGATCTCAAATATTTTAAGCGAAGTTTAAGTTAACGGATAAAAAAACTAAAACTACGCGCGAATACAAACTCCTACGTAAACCCATGAACAACCTAGTCGCAACGGGGAGCAATGAGAGAATGTAAAACTAGCAGCTCCGACGTATCATAGAAGATGACATTGCCATTATGCTGACTTTTAGCTTAGCTAGAGAACAGCAACAAGCCGAAGCCACAGCAAACGTGACACGTGACGTCAAACTTCGCATTAACTAAATCCGCTGGGCTGAAACGTGTTTCGTAAACAGTCCATGAATCAGTGGCAATTTAATCACGTCGCGTTACGAACAAAACACAAAGCATATACAT